GATCAAGAATATTTAATTTTGAGCATTAATTTTCTTTACTATAAATAAATAGTTGGATATGTAATTTGATTTTTTTATTGTACTGTTAGTATGCTTCAGTGAATGGCGATTGTCTTTGATTTTAATACACATTGGTTTTTGGAATATATGGAGATGCATACACGTTGATGAAATCCTTGTTAATAGTGAATATCCCATCCGGAAAGCACATTACAAATGGAACTCCGCTGCCTCAGATTAGAAAATGACCGGTATAACTCAAATATGCTCTGTTCTTTTCTCAAACTTCATTCCACAAGCTGCTGCGCCGTGCGAAGAATCTGAAATCATTGATATGAGTTACACACTTCAACTAGTCATCTGCACCAACTATACTACCCATTCACGTTGAGGTGGTGCATGCCTTTGTTATCCAAGTGGGTGTTGCGGTGGTATGTTGCTTATTTTGTCGTAAACCCTGTGTCGCTGACTGATAGAAGAAATTTCTGGACGTGTTCCCCACACAGAATGCGGATATCATCGTCTACAGAGTCGTGGGGAATAACATTCCAGGCTATCACGAGCATGGGTTTGCGCGTGAAATGGTGACACATATCATCGAGAACGAATGGCTGCCTACTAAAATGAGAAGGAGGTGGCTACTCTGGCACATAGCTGACCAGAAAGCGAAGCTGAAAGTCATGACAGTATGATCTGTGCGTGTGTATATGCACATTAACGTGTAGTGGCAGTGTACTCACAGTCAAGTTTAGTACGGTGCGGATGTCTGTATTAGTTCCTTTTTTTTTTACTCCTGGAGCTGTCCACACTTTTGCTCTCTGATCAAGTATGTTGTGTACAAAGCGCTTCTGCGTTGTGGCTCGGATGATGATACTATTAGTCGTTGCATTGTAAGTGTATTCATATATAAGTACACACTAATATTCCGAGGTCAGATTGATTACTACAATGAGCGGTTCACTTTCCCGTTGCTTGATACACGCAAGTTATCGGAAAGTTGACTGAAGCTTATTTTCCATGATATATTGGGCGCAAAAAGGTCCCAAAACAAATTTCATTTTGCCCTGGAGAAAATGTTGGCCCTCTGATATATCCCGTTTGATTATCCTACTACATGACGAATCTTTGATTAGCCTACTACATAGCGATAAAATCAGTTTACCTTGCCTCAGTGCCTAGGGCATTGTGGACGAGTCCCTGCATATAGCTGTTTGGTTTACGCATGTTAGGTCTTTCTTCTGTAGTGGCTACTGGTTTGTTGTTATGACTAGAACAATCCAGACTTGGGTGTGCATACCTGTATAGTTTAGTTTATTTGAAAGCTTGCGCAGCATGTATGGCTAATGGCTACCATGGTAATGGTAACGTCTCATGCGCGAGCAATGTACTCTCAGATTCCTCGCTTTGTAAATGAACCATCAGACCGTTAACACGACACGTCCGAGTCAAGATAGAACAGGATAGTCACTTATGCACTACACTCCACACCCGAATACACATAACAGGTCTCGAACACTCAAAGAGACACCCACCAGACACCCACATTCTATAACAACTCAAACCTACACAACATTCCACGCGCACCGATATATAAATAGTACATTTAGGGGACTGCACTCTCAAGTATGTGTCTCTGTCTTATATCTGCACCTGTAGTATATTTAACCTTCCTACACACCTCCGCCCTTGTACAAGATACCCACGACCTCAGTTTTTGAATCGGTTTGAACCACTGGCGACGTGGAGATCCCCGGATTCGCGCGCAAGAAAAGTTTATCTTCGCTATCGCTCAAACACTTGAATGTTGATATCATAGAGCAAGTAGTGTATGATTGACAATTTACAACACCCGCTTCATGGAAGTTTTGTACTACGCGCACGTTTAGCTGCCTCAGGATAGTAAACAGTATTGAGTAATAGTTTTATGGTAGACTTCCGGAGACCCAAATCTGCTATTCCATTTACCGTACCTATCAGGCTGATTTGAACACCCAGCGATAGTCACTATGAAGTACTTACGCGAACAAGTCTAGCCTCAAGCAATCTGGCGTTGAAACTCGACCCTTGCAAATATAGGTATGGTTGACGTAGCATGGTGTACTCGTATGCTAATGCTAAACGTTTACTTGCGTATTGTACTCTGCAGTTGCTCGATGAACACGATGAAGAATACACAGACATTCCGTTTGATCTGGATGAGTTTGCGGCACTCCCAGTGAGAGAAGACGCGATCAACGACATCACAAACCTGCATCGCTTGCCTGACTTGTCGAAGGTATGTATCAGCATCATACTTTTTGCCTGCCGTGGCTTATATATATATATATATATATATGTATGTATATATATATACTGAGTCTGTATATAAGCGATGAATAAGTGGAGTTAAGGTGATATTCTTTTGTTCTGCACGGCTACCTCGGCGGCGCGCAGAGGGTTTGAGGCCAGAACTTAAAACAAACCGATAGAGCACCACGTTGTCCATATATTCACAACCCCTTCCGGACTATGTAGTGCTGACTGTTTTCTTCTGAACCGTGCGCATGACAAAGAATACCTATGACTCTACTTTGTTATTTGAATTTGAGGGGCGGGTGCTTGTAGCGCTTGCTGGAGTTTTGCAGTGGTGGGTATGCGTTGGCTAGTAGATGTGTTTGACCAGGATCTAAAAATAGCCTCTCACTAATTTAGCAACGTACTCGCTGTACATCACAGTGTACTAAATGGGGTGGTGGAAACTTAGAAATTCTCTGCCACGGCAGTCGGAGTTCCATCAAATCGGTTTCTATTGGATACTTGTTCTACGTTTCAATCCGTAGTTTATGGTTTCGAAAGTCTTCGTACGAAAACATAACTTAAAACCCTTGCAAGTGTGCGCACGCGCTCTCTCAGCTTACTTGTAGATATAATCTTAGTATTATTTTTCATGGTGTCGTTCCAATCGTCGTTTGTGTGGTTTTCGCTACTGGTAGAATCAATGCTTTTATTTGTCTTTCATCATCATACGTTATTGAGGCATTGTTGACTATGTATTACCTATTACCACTGCCTCCACTACTATCAGGATTAAAGCGTGCGATATACTCATATATGAGTAATCACTGACGACATTGATAGCAAGATCGTCACAGTGGCGATGTAAAGGTGCTCACTTATATCATTATATCGGATAGCCAATCATTATTGGAACCCCCATCTGTACATTCTTGCAGTTTACGTACCGGGAGATGTTGGGCTACTACAGTGCTAGGTATAGCTACGTGTGGGGTACCGAGGGTACAGCAGCGTCCTTTAATTACATGATCGATCATGTCTTCAGGCCAGAAATCACTAAGCGGAAGGTGGAGGAGGTAGACGAGCACGAACCAGGTGAGTATATATTCATTT